AAAAACTAAGCACCAATTCTAGAATTTAAGTTTGAAAGGAGAGTAAAATAAGTGGTCTCCCTCCCCCCAGCTTAGTGTTAAACACAAAATTTGAAAAATGTCACTGTAGAAAGGAAGTACGGAAAAGCATTCTCTGACTATGAAGCTCGCTTACTCTCATTCTCGTCTTTTAAAACCAGCACTTAATAGTTTGTCCCATAAAATCCAAAGTTATCATTAGGATGTTCTAGCACTATCTTGTGATATTTAATATACAACTTCAATAGCCTAAACCTCTTTATTAAATATAATAAGGAAATGTAATTGAAGATTAAAAATGTTCAAGTAGAAATGCTAGGAGCTGATAACTTCAATCACTTCTCACTATTATAATGCCTTGTGTTGAGGCGCAATACATTAATCATTAACACTGACAGACACACAAAGAGATCACTGGCGTTCAACAACACGATAACAGGGAAGTGCCGTGGCAGAGTGGTTACGCGTTGGGCTGTTAACTGCCAGGTCAGTAGTTTTGAAACCACCAGCCTCTTTGTGGGGAAAGATGAGGACTTCTACCCCCATAAAGAGTTGCAGTCTTGGGAACCCACAGGGCAGCAGTTCTACTCTGTCTTACAGAGTCACCATGAGGTAGACTCAATTCCATAACAGTGAACTTGGCTTTGCTTTCTTTTCTTTTTGGAATGGTTATGTTAGAAACCAGAGTGCCAGAAAAATCCCCTCTGAAATCCATTTTTGCTGGTTCTTTTGTTGTAATTTGACACAATAAATACCCCAAAGAGGATGGAATTGAGAGCGTTTGGCATCTGTTTTATATCAAATATTTAATATTTCTTACCCCTTTAAGGTAATTTTTGGCATTAGCTTTTATCTGATAATTGCAAATGACTTATTTTCCTGAAATTTATGGCACTTCAGGCTTGTTAATAAACTTAAAGGATTTTGATTTTTTAAATGAAGCAGGTGGGAATGAGGGAGGAAAAATTATTTCAATCTGTCAATTTGGAACACATACCTGAGCATTTTGGCTTTTCATTTGTAAAGGTTAAGCAATCATGGAAATAATGTGTGCACTGTTAAAATAACCAACTGGTATGATAGTTTATGGGGTTTCAAAAGAAATGGGGAACAATTTCTATGATCAATTAATTGTGACTGTTTACTACTACAGATGGTAAAGTAATGTATCTGACTTAGGGGTAGCACAAATAATTAATCACTTGACTATAAGCCAAAAGGTTGCCAGCAGCACCCTCTGAAGACAGACTTCATGAGCTGCTTCTGAGAGGTCAGTCTTGAAAACTCTCCATACCTGTTCCGCTCTGCACACAGGTGGGCACTATGAACAGCGGGAATCAACTCTATGGCAACTAACAATCTGTAGCACCGTTAGGTAAACATTGGCCTGCTAACTGCACAGTTGGTGGTTCAAACCCCCTAGCCACTTCATGGGAGGTACATGAGGAAAAAGATTTATAGCCTTGGGTATCCTCTACAGGGTCACTATTAATTGAAATGGACCCAGTGGCAGTGGGCTTGTTTATTTTCTGAGTGCATTATCCTGTCTATACCTACTTATGCATCCCTTTAACCTTTTCCCTACTAGTCTTGATAGTGCTCCAACTTAGTGTAACTCAGGGCTACTGATACTTTTAAATGGGATGACTTCTAAAAGGGTACTCCTGGTGGTTTTAGTGGTTCTGTACTGGCCTGCTAACCTCAAGGACGGCGGTTCGAAACCACCAGGTACTCCTCAGGAGAGTTAGGGCTTTCTTCTCCAGTTCACTTGAAAATTCATAGGGATAATTCTGTCCTGTCCTATAGGGTCACTATGAGTCTATGGCAGTGAGGGTTCGGTTTTGTTGTAAGAGAGTGTCCATTCATCACGTACAATTTACAGATGACACAACTTTGCTTGCTGAGAGTGAAGAGGTCTTGAAGCACTTACGGATGAAGAGTATGTATAGATTAAAATTCAATGCCAAATAAACATGGATCCTCATAATGGGACCACTAGATAACATTTTGATAAATGAAGAAAAAATGGAAGTTGTCAAAGATTTCATTTTATTGGATCCACAATCAGTGCTCAGGAAAGCAGCAAACAATGCATTGAGAAATCAAACAATGTGTTGCGTTAGTTAAATCTGAGGCACAAGATGGATGGAACGTGTTCATTAGGAAGAATGTCACCTTGAGGACTAAGGTGTGTCTGACACCAACCACGGTCTGTGGAATTTCGTACACAGGTGGGGGCTGGGGCATGAATAAAGAAGCCCGGGGAAAAACTCCTACCTTTGAAGTAGGGTTTCGGCAAAGACTATTAACTGTCTCATGGAATGCCAGAAGAAGAGGGAGATAATCTCTCCTGGAAGAAGTATAGCTGAAAGGTACCTTAGAATCAAAGATGGTAAGAGCTCCCCTCATGCACCCTGCGCAGGTTGTAAGGGACTCGTGCCTGGAGAGAGACCTCATCCTTAGAACAGTGCCGGTGAAACAGAGGAATGCCCTCAACGAGGGGAGCTGAGAGGCTGCCACACTGGCTCAGACAGAAACCATGTGAGGGTGGTGTGGGCCTGGGCCGGGCTTCCATTTGTTGCTCTTTGTGAGTCAGAGCTGACACAATGGCATCCAGCAACAGTATCAACATCAGCAACTTGATGATCAACAGGGATGACAAATATCTAGTACAGGCACAGCTATACTCCGCCGCACACCCTGTCAGGCAGAGTTGACGCCACCCGTCTGCTCTGGGATTTTTCTGCGTGCGAGACTAGATGCAGTCTCATACGCGGTGCCAACAGGCTCCTCCACGCAGCCTTTGAGGCCGCCAGGAACAAGGACACATCCCTTTGCAAAGACTGTTGATAGCAAACATAAGCTGAAGAGTCACCATTGCTGTTGTAGAGTTATCTCATTTTTCTCATGCCTAATTTTCTTTCTGAAAATAAGTCCGTAAACACATAAAGATCTGATCCCCTCAGTAAAAGTAAAAACAAAACAGTATATTTTTAATGGTAGAAGCAGTTTTAAATAAAGAACAAATATTATTAATCAATGCCTCACTCTTCAAGCTATAGAAAATGATTTTTCTATTGTGATTCTTTTAAGAATATGTGTTAACAATGAGGACATGTTCCATTTATACTACATGATCGTTTTAAAGGAATCATATCTGTGGATGAGTCTTCTTTATTATGTAAGTTAAAGTATACAAATTATTTTGAAGTTTATCAGAAATTGACCCACTTTTCAAAAATAAGTAAATAAACAAGAGATTAATATCAGTTTAGTCTTTCACGTAAATTGATTGATATTATTTCAACAAACTTGCCACTACCACTTATAATAAAACTCCCACCCCAACAATACTAAGCTTTGAAACAGGATAATTACACAGAAAGCTCAGGGTAGTTTCAACACTTTTAGGATTAAAATGCACGAGAACCTCAACCACTTCTAAGTCTGTTCGAAAAGGAATAGCAATACATATTCATTCCCATTATTTTTATTGAAAGGTACTTTTTCCGTTTTTTAAACAAAGACATAAATTAGGCATTTCTTTGTTCAGAAAGACATATATTATTTGTTTATAAGCATCTGAATTGAGGTCTGTCATCAATACAAAAGTTCCTGTGGAGATGACTGGGACTGATAGTGACCCTTGTGTGTCAGAATAGAATGGTGCCCCATAAAGGTTTTCAACGGTTAATTTTTCCAAAGGAAACCATCGGGCATTTATTCTGAAGGGCCTCTGAGAGGACGCTGATTTGTTCGGTGAGCAGTGAGATGAGTTAGCCAAGGACTCCAGCATTATGCACCTTGCTTCAGTTGTCACCGAGGGGTCCTTCAGTTGATGATTACTCACAGCGACCTGCAGAACAGAGTAGAACTGTCTGTACGGGTTTACAGGCTATACTACGGAAAGGAAATGTACCCAGCTCTGCTCCTCGCCTCGCCAGGAGCCACGGATGTGTATGACTCACCACCTTTTCTATTACCAGCAGAGATGAACCAATGCAAACGAGTGTACAACGTAGTTGAAAACTTCATTTAGGTTGAATTAATTTGGAATCCTTAACTCAAAGAATCTAAAAAAATACATCAATTACTTAAGTACACGAGATTGCTCTGCATATTTAACTATAAGATTTTATATATTTAAAGGCTGCTTAAGGATTCAGGCAGGATCCATGGTAAATACGCACTGCCCTGGAGTCAATTCTAACTCTTGGTGACTCTGTAGGAGAGAGGAGAACTGCTCGTTACGGTTCTGAGACTATAAATCTTTACAGGAGCAAACTGCCTCATCTTTCTCCCTTGCAAGTAGTTAGTGGATTTGAACCACTGACCTTACAGTTAGCAGCCTAACCCACCAAGGTTTTCCCATAGCAAATAGAAACATGAAATTGCTTTCTTAAGAAAAACAAAAACAAATAAACTCTTGAATGGTTGTAGAAGTATATTCATGTCTCAGCCTAAGAGAACATGAATTGGGTCACAAAAGTAATTTCCATAGGATATCATAGCCTAAGAAGACAATCTAGTATCAGAGCATGGTGAGGCAAAAAAAGTTCCTGGCATATTTAGGTAGCAATTTTCAGAACATAGATTAGTAACTTTTCCCTAAAATATGTATTTGATTTGTCCCTAATATCTACCTTTGTGTGTGTGTGTGTATCATCACTATCTCATCAAACTGTTTCCTAAAAGCTCAAATGATAATGTATTACGCCTTTATGGATTTACAGTAAACTTTAAATCTATCAGCTCCCAGCAACTGTGAACTGTATATCTGATAAAACATAATTGAAGCGCGAATAGAAGAAGTAACAGAAAACCAACTAATTATCACTTTACCTTACCATTAGTCATCTCTTGATTACCTGTACCAAAGGAAGGAGTGGCTAACAGAAAGTCACAGATAATCAATTGAGTGGGATTGAGTCCATGGCCTTGCGCTTAGTAGCTGAATTTCTAAATTGTCCAGTGTAACTTACTGCAAATGGGTTGTGAGGATGCCCATCACCAGAAGAGAGGCCACAGACACATAGTTTTGTTTCTGGAAGCAATTCCTAGATTGAACAAAGAGAATCAGAAGTTGGAATTTTTCCCCCACTCTTAAGGCTTAGGCTAATGATGTACATTATTATATTAAACATTTTAAAAAATTATCTTGGTATGTCAATATATGCAAGACTACTATATATCTGTCTTATTTCCTGAACTAGTACAGATTTAAAAACAAAAGATGATTCCCAGTTGTGAAATCTATTATTTGCACTATAACAAATTCACCAATAACAAAACAAAAAAAAATCATCTTCCAGGGAACTTTAGTTCCTATTTCTAAGAACTTAATTTTCCTACTTAGTTCATATTTCTAGGAAAATGGTGACCGATGTTTACAACACTCCAATAGATTTATATAGCACTGGGATTTTAGAGTGTGGGATGCGATTTGCCCTTTAAACATCACCACTATTCAACTGTTGTTTTGTTTTGTTTTTTAAAAGAAAAAAACACTCCTAGTTGATTATAGCCAATACAATTGACCATAATACTAACCACTCCTAGTTGATTGTAGCCAATACAATTGACCATAATCCTATGGTCATAAAGTAGAAGATCATAAGAATATCTTTAAATAAATTACCTGAGCCAAGCATCCCTACAACACAACTATTTTCATCAAAATAATTTAAGACTATGAACCAAGCTCCATAATCTCTGTTTAAACCTGTTGAATCATGCTATTTACATTGAAAACTACTCTATACACTCAAATGCATAGTTCACATTTTTATCTGGAAAAGCAAAGTGATTATTTATTGATAAATGACATGGAATGTCATTTTTTACCTAAGTAGCATTAGACATTTCAAAGATTTTGTCTGAAGGGCAAAAGGATTACACTGCATTTGAATAGACCATGTGACAACCCCTCCTTAGACTTCATGTATGATATGAAAGGATGATCCCCATTCATAAGATACACAAGGGAAATTATAACTCTACCAGAAAAGGAGCAAAGCAAGGAGTGATGTGGTGAGGGTGTCAGGGAGTATTTGTAGTGGTTTGATGCATGTAAATATTACATCTTATAAATAATTCTTCTCAAATACATCTCTGACGTTCAGGGGCTCTGTTTAAGACGTGGATTGTATGTGCTTTACACGACTATGTGCCATTTTCTCCACGAGAAGAGCTACATTAATGCAAACAAGAAAAATGGCTTCCAGGTTACCCCCATCCCTCTTCCCTATGAAGAAGGGTGTTACCTGATGCTGGCTGATGTGGATTTGGAGAAAATTGTTCAACTTCCATTTTACTGTCAGAATCCAACAAACACATTTTCATCTAAATTATTTTGTCAACAGCCTTGTAGTACCCTTGCTAACCTTATTTGGCACCAGTGCATAATTAGATACACAGGGGTGTGACTCCAATTGAAGGTGTTGGCATTGTAGCACTCTGTGAAAATATTAACTATGAGGTTAACTCCAATTTTCTCTTCTTTAATTAAATGCACATGGTACTAATGAGGTAACCTACTGTTCCTTGATAGCACTAATTAGCTAAGAGGAGAGTACACTCTCACACTGCAATTTAAACCTAAAAATAAGGTTGAAATATGCTAATTGCAGGCAATTTAAAACAGTACAAGTTGAAGAACTAGTCATAATAAGAGAAACTGACTGCTTTACAGCTAGGCAGCTGTAACTTTGGTTAAAATCAAAACAAGCCACACAATTTTTGGTCCATTATTTAACAAGGTCATAAGCATTCAAAAGAAAAATGAAATGTTATTCCATACCATAACAATGAAACAGACTAACCAGGAAAACAAGATCTCAGACAGGCACTCATCCACACACAACCAAAAGTAAGTGAGGGTGATGAGGACCCCAAACTTGTCAAGACACTATTTATAATTAATACTGAAAATTAAATTCCAGAAAGAAACCACGTCATCTTAAAAACCCATTCAAGCCCACAGAGATTAAAGAAACTATTGTAACTTGTATCACCAACATTTTCAAAAGATGCTGAGATACTGAAAACTTGCCATCCTGGCCATGGAGTCAGAGGGTGGAACACAAAGGGAAGTAGGTCTCAGTACTAAGAATTTTGGTTTAATACAGGAGAGGAATACGTGAGCAGCAAATGTCAAGCCAACATACGAAACTATGGGGAAAAATATACAAAAGATGGTATAGTCCCCAAACCCAATCTACTGCCATGGAGCTGCTTCTGCCTGATGGAGACCCTACAGGGGGAGTGGAACTGTCCCCAGGGTTTCCTGGCTGTACATCATTATGGAACGGCTGGGGGTGGGGGGTGAGGTTCCAGTTAACGACCTTGCTATTAACAGTCCAACTACTAAGTCACTGGGCTGAATTATCAGTAAAGTGATAACAAAAACCAGTTGCCTTCTAATCCATTCCAACTCATGCCACACAGAAGCCAAAAGATCAGAAGGGTGTCATTACAAGATTTTTTTTCACTAGATTTCTTCTATAATTTGGAGCTTTCGGATAAAAATAGATTGAAGCTTCACTGTGAGAGATGATGTTGTAGTTTCCCATTCTACACTCTAAAAATGCAGAAACAGAGCATCAGTGAATCTCAGGATGTAGCATCCAGCCACATCTCAAAATTTTCCAAATAGCCCTTTAACCAATAAATGTGACAACCTTGTCATCAGGATAGAGTCTGAATTATCTTTTGAATCATCAAGAGATCCTGTGACCTTTTGTTTGATGCAACGCATATTTTCACTATTTTTTGAGTCTCTTTATGGCGGTGCCATGATTACTGTGCTCGCCTGCTAACATAAGGGTCTGTGGTCCAAACCTACCAACCACTTCCTGGGAGAAAGATGGGGCCTTCTGCTTCCAGAAAGATGGGGACGTTCTATTAAGTTCTATAGGGTGACTGTGGTCAGAATCCACTCAAAGGCTGTGGGTTTGGTGTGGTTTTATGAGTCTCTGAAAGAGTTCAATGTATCACATTTTTACTAATTTGGAAAGATTAATTAACCAAAATAATCATTCTTCTGAACATGCCAAACCATGTCTGCTACCAAGGATATAAATAAACCACATTAAGATGATATTCTCATTAATTTCTCTCCAAGGACAAGACCTGCAGACTGCCCTCAGCCGAGCACTTTAGTGACTCTTCTCAGTCTGCTTATCACTTTACCTGCAAAGTCTTTAAAAGAGGCATACAGTTGAAGCAAAAGCTTTGGGTGAGCAAAAAAGCAAGCCAACAAACAATAAAACAGAATTTTTAAAGAGTTCAACTTTATCTTACATTTATTGAACAGTAAAAAGTTAGGAAAATATCAAACAGATTGAAAGGAAGGGTTTTTAAGTAAATCCCAATTAATTATTTCTGGAGTTACAAGTGAGTGAGCATCAACTTTGTAGCACCATTGGCCAGTCACTGCAGCTTGCCAGGATTTAAAACAAAACAAAAACACCCACACAACTCCTTCTAGACTGCCTTAGAGGTTTTGACAATAGAAAGACAATGCTGGCAACAAGTGCTAATGAATCTCTGATCAACCATGCTCTAATAGACCCCTGAAGTTGCAGGACTATGAAGGAGTATTAGGGGGAATGAAATCAGACAGCCATTTAGGAATGGGTCTCCTGGAGCCAACCTGACATATCCCAGCACATCACAGGGAAGCCCAATGTAAATGGATATTTTAAGTGTTTGCATCTGTTTCAAATGAGCACCAAAGAACCTTTGCGCAATGAGGAGGCTTCCAGGACAATGTACTGGTATGGACTTTCAACATTAACCTCGGAAACAATCTGTTCTTCAGTTTAATATAGATTGTTGTCATTTTCTGTTAAAACAAAAAGAGTACATCATTTAGAAGTAAAAAATAAAAATAATAAGGATACTGGCTCTAGAGACAGGCTGCAGGGGTTAAGATCCTGGCTCAAGCACTTACTTGTGGCGTGACCTTGAACAAGTTAGTTAGCCTTTCAGGGCCACTCTCTCTAGAAAGGGATGGGGTAATCAATAACACCCTCCTCCAAATCCTCGGCTGTTCTGGAGTAGATTGCAATTCATAGTAGCCCAGCAGGACAGAGTATCCCTGCCTCATTGAATTTCCAACGCTGTACCTATTTAAGGCAGCAGACTGCAACATCATTTTCCATTGTTGGGGCCGGTGGGTTTGAACCACTGATTTTTGATTAGTAGCAAAGTTCTTTCATTTCTGCTTCACCAGGGCTCCTTGTTAACCCTCTCATAGCGTTACTAAATGTATTAATTTTAAGTTCTTAGAACAGTGCTAACACTTATATAATTAATATTTATTAGCTATCATTTTTGTTAATAAGTACTCAATTTTGTTCCCATTGGGGGGAAAAATAAGCATCTACTGTGTTTAAAAGAAGCCCTAGTGAGTGGCCCAACAGTTTAGTATCGGGCTGCTAAATGGAAAGTTGGCAGGTCAAATTTACCCTAGAGCTCATAGGTAGTAAAGTCAAAGAACAAAAATCACATCCATCGAGTTGACGCCAACTCATAATGATGCTACAGGGCACAGTAGGACTGCACCTGTAGGTCTCTGAGATTGTAAAAGGACAGAGGCTTGGTGTTCCCCATGGAATAGCTGGTGGTTTTACAGAGCTGACCTTGGGGTAACAGCCCAACACTTAACCACTATGTCAGCAAAACTCCTTAAGTACAAAGAGGCAGTCACTTTCTCACAGTAAAGATTACAATCTACAAAAGCCAAAGGGGATGTTCTGATCTGACACAGGGGTTTACAATGAGTTGACAACCAACCAAACATCACCTAACAGAACAAAGCTATGTACAAAACGACAAGATTGCACATTGTTTGTGCTCAAATACTAAGCTAAAGGCTGGTGGTTCGACTCCAGCTTTCCCACAGAAGAAAGGCACCCTTCAGAAAGTTCTGTGAAGCAGAACTGCTCTGTAACAATGGGGTTTCCATCAGTCAGAATCAACTCTGTGGCAATGGATTTGAGATCTTTCTTTTTTAATGGGTTATAAGACGCCATTATATACTGTAGCTCCACTT